TGGGGACCCATTCCTCATATAAGTTATTAATCAAACTTTCATTTATAGCTTTGATTAAGAATAAAGGTGATTTACTATTAGTAAATATGGAAAAGCTCTGTTATAGCACTGCGTAGTGTCATACACTTTGGGTTGCATGGATCGAGGTTTATGAAATTAAGAACAGATTGTGATCACACGTAGAGGGTATCCACACTGATCTTTGACCTTTGTGCTTCAGAAAATGTGGGAAGGCTTGCCACCCCTGCCAAAAAACTGGAGGACACGATCCGTTTGGCTGAGCTGGTGATTGAGGTGCTTCAGCAGAATGAGGAACATCACGCTGAGGTCAGTGTGCTGGTCCATATGCATATAGCCACACCATTTCCCTACTCCATTGTAGACGTTCTACATATTTGTCTCCAATGCAATGTTAAAATAAAAAGGTCTACAGAGCTCCTCAACATTTGTTTTCAAAGATAAACTGAACATGTTTTTAGTAGTTGTATAACTTTACTTGGATGATAAATACAAAGCTTCTCACTGCTACCTGCGTTAAACCATCATACTCCATGTTATCTGCACAATAGGCCACAAAGTACATATTCTAAAGTGCAAGTAGGTTTATAAAAGCAGTAGTTTTCGTGAACTACATGCATTGAGAGAATCCTCTTTGCTCTGCTGTGTATGCTGTGCTGTTTAGCTACATTTCTGTCACTTTTTTGTAACTAAAACAAAGCTGACTTACTGCTTCTCTACTTTTTATTCCAATCACTTATTTGTTTTGCGGGGAATTGTTTGAACAGGGAAAAGAGGTATGTGATTGTCTTGGTGCCATATACCCCCTTCCCTACCCTACCCTGTAGAACCTGTGCATGCACTTACTGACACAGCTATTGTTGTTGAGGAATATTAATATTTCCTTTTTCAACAATGACACAAAACCCATTTCAGCTTGTTGTCACTGCCATCCAAGTACTTGGAGAGGTGCTTGTTAGATTCAAAGCTTGCAACAGTTTTGCCTTCATTATTGAAGAGCAGACACAAGTACTTAGGCAGTGTGTTTATTTGTCCAAAGCATTAAGCTAGTATGTTTGGAGAAAGCAAGGGGAAAAACTGATTTTCCTATATTCTAACGATGTACTTTGCTTTCTAAGAGCCTACCACAAATCATCCCCGAATATAACAGCATGTTTATTGTGTTTAGTCATTTACATTTACTTATCCTACTCAGTAACTCATCTATCATGGAGATGTACATGTTCTTTTCAGTAAGTTTGTGTTCCTTTTTTTAAACAAATTTGCTTTGGACCTTTCAGCACACATAATGGAGGATATGATCTTTCACACTATGACTATGCCCCTTGCATTTCAGCAAAATTCCTCTGCCTGCTGCTCCAGTGAAACTTTAAACCAGTGTACCTGACTCCAGCCCAAACGTGTTGAATTATTCTGTTACAGTTTATTTTCTCTTGAGTTTTTGATCCTGGTTTATCCATGTACAACCCTAATTCTTCAAAATTTACATGCAAATGTGAAAGAGTGGATTTGTTCAAAAAGAAATCTCTAGCAGTGGACGGATGGGGGGATTATCGATGATTACAACCTTGTGTAGTGGAGAGCATCTATGTTGTATCACAAGACACAAAGGCTGATCAGTTTGTTTCACAAACTCATCTACACAAGGCGTTTTGGAGCAGCCAAGGCAGTTTGTTTGAAACGAGACTGTAGACCTGCACGAGGCATCAGCAGAAGCTTGGTGAGAAAGTGACAACTTTTGGTACAATTATCTGGAAATGACAAAATATAAAATGATCAGCTTCATGCAAGATCTTGCCTCATTAGTTGAGGATGATCATGAGAAAGGTGGGGGCCCACCAGGTTCATTTTTAAGTTTGAGGGGCCAATGGATGGGGGCATGAAAAGCCTTGGAGGACCTCCTGTAGGACATCTGTGGAGGGATCTTAAACTTTGAGTTCCCATGCAGCAGCAGAAACCTAAAGGATTTAGAGAGTTTCTTCAAAGAGGAGTGGGTCAAAATCCCCTCTTGGTGACCAACTACAGTAAATGTCCTACCACTGTGCTTGCCAACCGGAGTTTCTCCACCAATTACTAAGTTATGTTTTGTTGGGAATCAAACACTTACTTGGCTCAATGAGATGCAAATGATTTTTTTATTTCGTAGTATTTTTGGTTGGTAATCTGACTCTCCTCATTAAAACGAAACAAACAAAATTAGAGACTGTGCATTTCTTTATAAGTGAGTAAGCTTGCAAAATTTGCAGTGGAATGTTTTTTATTGTAATAAAAAGACAAAAACAATGACTGGCACTAACTGAATGTGATTTATCTGCTGCTAACTGCGCCCAGTATACCACCCTCCCACACCACTTCCAGTACTAGAGGGTACATTCAAATGACAGTGTTAAAAGCTTGGTGTGAATAGTCAAACACTTTGGATCCTCAGGGTCCCTCTTAAAAGGCCTGGCAAGAGTAAGGTTGCCTGGAGAAAATGAGAGTAGCCAGGTTGCGACCAGTCACTGCACTGCACATATTTGATGGGGAGATACAAGTGTGGCACAGTTCAATAGCTCCTTTCTTCTGATTGACTTGCTGAAGAAGCTGCGGGTGAGTGTTTAAGTAGGTCCCTGCCAAGTCTGTCAAGGAGCTGCTGCTGTTTCCTCTGTGGGACAACAGAAAGCATGTGATTTTTTTTCCATACCCGACTCTTGGTGTTTCTGTTCCGAGTGCTGAAGAATCCCTCCCCAGAGATTGTGCAGTAAAGTCGTTGAGGCAACAACTTGATTTCATATGATGAAAAGTGTGTGAGAGCCTTTGAATCTCATTTCCTGTAGAGGCTAAGGATGAAATACATCTCCAAATTCTCAAAGATGTGTCCAGTGGGGACGCTCATACTGCATTAACTGTCTTCTTACACTCTCAGCTCCTTACTTTTCTTATCTCTGACTTTCCCCCCCCTCTCTCTTCCCCTCTTTCCATCTGAAGGCCTTTGCATGGTGGTCAGATCTGATGGTGGAGCATGCTGAGACCTTCATGTGTCTCTATTCGACCGAGATGGATGCAGCTCTTGAAGTTCAGCCACCTGACAGCTGGGACAGTTTCCCTCTCTTCCAGCTGCTCAATGACTTTCTGAGGATGGACTGTGAGTGTATGGCTATTCAAAAAAGTATATTCAGGTGTCAGTATGGACCCTGGAGTAATTTTTTTTTTAATTGCTGAAGATCTTTTCAGTTTGTAGTACAAATAGTCTATTTAGTAGACTGCACATAGCTTATTTGTGGCAGTGAGTTTTTAAAATATTTCTGTATTTATCCAGGAAAAAACTGAATGTAAATTTTGGTTGGGCAGTATTTAATGAGAGTTTTTTACTGCCTCTAACGAAAAAAATAATTTTAATAAAAAATTCAACCTGAAACTTTAAAACTAATCCTGATTTTAGTTCCTCTGTGATAGTCTAAATCCTGTACTCAATTTATCCCTATTCAGAAAAAAACACTACATTTAAGAATTAACAACAATATAGTGCAGACTAAAAATCCACCACAATCAAATGGACGACTATGTGCAGCACCAGGCTCCCTCCTATGACGATTTCATTCATATTACTACCACTACTACTTTACTGTACATTTGACTTATTTTTAAGGTGGACCAACTTAAATGACTTCATATTGTTGGCATGTTTAATTGAAAGTAGTGCATCATGTTGAATATAACTATCATATGTTGAAATTTGTTCTTGCCATCCCTGGTTACAGGTAAAGATGAGGGTATTATTAAATAGGAATTACACTTCATATTTCAAATGTACTTAATAATCAGTTAAATCAAGGACAGTACCGTTGTACTTGTACCTTACGTGAGTAAATGCTCTTACATTCAACTGCTGCATCTTTGTAGGTAAACCTCATTTGGCACTAACATCACTGACAAATCAGTGACAAACAGCAAAAAAAGCATCTCCACACTACTGAGCCCAAACGTTTTTAACATGTACGTATATTTACAGCAGTTTTATGTGTGTGTGTTGGTGTGTGTTGGTGTTGCCGATGGTTGCTGCAGGCCAGTCATCTCTCTAATGAACTGCATACACTTGCCTGCAGGAACACTGTCCATGCTAAAGATACACATGCACTTCACGAAGCAGACTCAATCTGCTAATTGTCCCTTGGGAATGATTCCCCTTTTCATTGTGTCAGTTGGGAGTCAAGGAGAAGATAGAATCTCGTCCACTTATTCAGCTTAACTGACCTGAGCACAAAAAATGATCGTGCTCTTTTGTTAGTGTCATGAAATTGGCCTCCTTCTCATTTGCTACATCGTGTCATTGTGTGCGAATTCCAATTATAGTGCACAGCAATGAACATGGCTACACTGGGAAACACTAAAAGAAAGCTTGCTTGCAATAATACACTGACTTAAAAGGAAGTTATGCATTCTCTATGTGCATTCATAGCTGGCCAAACTAATTATGAACTAAATTATGATTATTAAAAAAACATTATAAATTTGAACCCTTTTGTAACACAAACGGTCATCGTCCATCCAACAGGGTTTGTTTTTTGTTTTGGAAAAGTTGAAGTGAGAAGGCCCGATGGCAGACCGAGGACATGTTGTAGAGATTACATCTCTTGGCTGGCCTGGGGAGGTGTTTCCCAGGTTAGCTGAGGGAGGTGGCTAGGATGAGGGAGGTCTGGTTTCTCTGCTCGGGCTGTTTCCCTGCTACTCGGCCCCAGATAAGTGATAAGAAAATGGATGAATGTGAAGGTTCTCATTCATCCAGGTCATGGCAGTCTACGCAGCTTAGAAAGAAATGGGTTCAGAGTGGAAGCAATTTCTCTAAGTGATGTCTGTTTTTAGAGTTAACCAAGCACTGCTTGCCCTGTTGGTCCTGATAGAACGCTACTGGTTAGAAGATATTATATACTAGTTTCATTGACTAAATTGAACTTCCATAAAAAAGATTAAACATGGTTTGATGATGGTCCAAAAAGAAAGGGTGGTTCACTGCTGGGTACAGAAGATGGTTGTTGTGGGTGTCAAGGGCAAAATGCTGCTAAGACAATGTGGCCTGATGCTTTGTAATACACCATGCCAGACTGCCTGCTTCTCACACAGCATAACAAACGCACGTTAGAAAAGTATATCATTATAGTGACATGTTTTTGCAGAAGGTCATCTGATCTTTTGCCCCACAGCGGTGCACTTATGGAGCAGTAAAAACTACATTAGTCAGGTGCCAAAGTCAGGCTGCCATTCAAGAAGTTAATGAGGTCTAAAGTCGTCGTAGCTAGACCGTGGCAAGCCCTGCGAACACACTCCTGGACACAACACATCCAAATGGACAGCAGCCGCTCAAGTGGCTAATTGGGAGAGGGGCAATCAGGGAACACAACAAACATTGCACCTACTGTGTATCATCGACCTTGACTCCAATGCCAATGCACACAAACACAAACACACATTCTCAGAGGGGGAGAGAAAAAAGAAAGAGAGAGAGGGAGAGAAAAAGCAGGCACACTGCATGGAGCCGTGAGGCATCACATTAGCACACACTGGCCTCCATTTTATCTCCTGTGGTCTTTGTCAGTGTTGCCTTTTTACCAGTTGGGAGCCAGCAGAGTGGGGGAAATGTGGTTTGGATTCCAATGCCTTGTTTAGAAAAATGCTGTGTCATTCCCATTATTGCACAAACAACAACCTCCTTTGTCACTATTCATTATCAGGGATTATGATTGCTTTCTGTGCCCTTTGCATCTATCTTGCGAACAAAGAAAAACAGTAATGCAATAGTGACAATGGGAGCTTTTACAATCCCTTTGAGGAAGTCTGCAGTGATTAAACCACAGGTACACACTCATCAGCCACTTTGTAGTTACATCCGTTTAAGTGCTCATTAACACAACTATCTAATCAGCTAATCACATGAAAGCAACTCATTGCATTTAGGCATGCAGACCTGCTAGAGAGACCTGATGAAATCACCTGCAGAGTATCAGAATGGAGAAGAAAGGATATTTAAATTTAAAGAAGGGAGATTTATGGTTTATTTCAAAGAGCTGCTAAAAGCGTTCAGAGTCTGCTGACGACAAGGAAGTTGTCAAAGTTTAGGAGCCACAATCTAAAATGTAATACAAAGGTAGGGACACAGCGGTGTAAAGCACACCAGCAGTGGAGATGTGTTCTCAGAAGTGACGAATCATGCCTCACCATCTGGCAACCCGAAGGATGAGTCTGGAGTTGGTAGCTGAAGCTGAGCAGAACAGTACTTGTCTGACTGCAAGCTGACAAAGTTACAGTTTGGTGGAGGCTGGATTATAGTGTGGGATCGTAGGGGATTGGAAAGACCTTTGGGATAAATTAGAGGAGGGCTTCTTGGCCAATATCATTGTCTGATCTCACAAATGCAGTTCTGTAAGAATGGTCAAATATTCCCATAAACATACTCCAAAACTCTCCAAAGAAGAGTTTAAGCTGTTATAGCTACAAAGAGTGGGCCTATTAAATCCTATAGATTAAG